CTAAGGCCCCACACCTCCAAAACCCTAAACCCCCAAAACCCTAAACCCTAAATCCTAAACCCTTCGGGTTTAGGGGTATATGGGCTGGAGGGTTGAATATGCAGAGGTTAAGGGGCTTTTCAGTTTAAGGAAGGTACTTAGGAAGCACCCAAAACCCTTAGCCCTGAACCCTAAGCCCTACGCCTAGGAACCAGAAGGGGTGTAGGCCAGTGTAGGCCTTTGGGTGCTACAAGGAAAGGATCAAGTGAAGCTTTGCCTTTAAGATATGAGCCATCATCGAAACTCCAAGTATCCCCCTTAATAATCCTCGGGTGTGGGGTTTCGGGTCAAATCTCCTAATATCCCGATTAAGAACCCCTATAATAGACCCCTGTATAGCTCCCTTGAAGTAATTTCGGATATAGCTCATATTATGGCATTTCCCCCCTCATAACACACCTCCTAGCCCCCCCACAATTTTAGACAGGTATCCACAAAAGTGGGCTACTACAGAGAACCTTATTGTTCTCTATTAGGGCTGGTGGCGGCATGTTGAATGTTAATGTGGGGGCTCTTAGGATGCTTAAGCCCTGAACCCTAAGGATTCTCAGGATTCTGGCCATGAGGTTTGGGATTCAAGGTATTTTGTCTGATGGCTGAAATGACACAGCACTGAGGTACAAACATGAAGTACATAAAGACTGTGCGTTTCAAACTGGATGCAGTGGCCTTTGGTCCTGACCGCCTGGGGAGCTTTTCAGAACACTCGCTTAACCCTGAACTCTAAACCCTGAACTGTAATTCCTAAACCCAAACCTCTAAACCCTAGACCCGAAATGGAAACCCAAAACTCTAAATCCTTAACCTAAACCCAAAACCCTAAACCCTAAAACCCTAAACCCTAAACACCATACACACCCAGCATCCCGGAATGCGGGAGGGCCTTCGCTGTACTCCAGGCCAACACAGGCGTCCGATGCAAGACACTCTTCCTAGGAATATATAGGTTTAGGGTTTAGGGTTTAGGGTAGGAATATATGTAGGGAATATATGGGGGATACTGGAAAGAGCATGGAAACTACCATAGTATACTGAGGTTGTATTGGGATACAGGAAAATAAAACGGAGGGGAAACCGCTCTTCAGGGTTTACTTGCTGGGGTTTAGGGTTTAGGACTTGGGGTTTAGGATTTAGGGCTTAGGATTTAGGATGTAGTGTTTAGGGTTTAGTATTTTGGGTGGTAAGGAAACACAGGATTAGGACGCAAAAGCTACTGCAAGGGATTACCTCGGGACTACTCACAGGGACCCATGTCTCGATTCTTTCCCAATGAAACACCAGCCAGGGATAGACCATAAACCCTAAACCCTAAAGAGGATTCAGGGATGTAGGGTGAAGGGCAATAGAGTTCAGGTCCAGGAGGCGGCTTGCGGATTCGGAACTAAGGTTTGGTGATTTAGGGTTTAAATCCTAAACCCTAAACCCTAAACCCTAAGCCCTAAACCCTAAAAGTTTAGGGTGTTGGGTTTAGGGTTTAGGATGTTGGGTTTTAACTTGAGAGTATTAGAGTTAAGGTCCAAGGCATAGGCTCCATAACATGTGAAGCGAGTCTACTGTGACCCCCAAAAAGTACCCGTGACTGTGGGAAACCCTAAGGCCTGATCCCTAAACCCTGTATATCCCCCATAGTCTCTTTAAAGGCACCCCCCTACTATTGGAAAGCCCTAAACCTTGTGTACTGCCCCCCCTCAGTAACAGTTGGATATTAATTATACTATGGTTATATATAGCCCTTAATAGGACCCCTAATATAGAATGTTACTGGGTGGGGGCAGTACTCAACCTAAACCCTAATCCGTAAACCAAGTTGGAGCAAGGCTTCTTGGCAGGACTCCACGCTGTACACGGTCACCTGGGGGATTCGGGTTTTAGGGTTTAGGGTCTAGGGTTTAGGGGCTTAGGTTTTAGGGTTTTAGAGTTTAGGGTTTAGGGGATTAGGGTTTGGGATTTGGGGATTATGATCTAGGGTTTAAGGTTTAGGGATTAGGGCTTTAGGGTTTCGGGTATTTGCGTTCAGGGATTAGGGTTTAGGCTTCAGGGTTTAGGGTAAGTCTGGGTTCAGAGTTCATATAAGGTTTAGGCATGTTGCGGGTACATAGGGTCATATACAGGCATGCAGGGTTTTTCTTGCGGGGTGGGGATATATAGGAATGAATTTTAAGACTGGGTTGCCCAAATGGACAGGCACATGGACAATGAAAGCGCCACTGGGCTTGCATGAGGGTTTCTAGGGTTCAGGGGTTCAAAGCCCGAATCCCTTGTCGGTGGATCCCCGCAGGAAGGAGCAAAGAACATGAGGGCACATAAGCCGAAGCCAAGTTTTGGGAGTAACCATTTTTTTGGAGCAATTTAGGGTTCAGGGTTCAGGGTTCAGGGTGTATAAGGGTTTAGGGTCTAGTGTGTATGGTTTTTTGGAGTAGCCATATTTCGGAAGGTTTATTTTGCGCGCCTGAAGTGTTGCATGGAGTCACCAGCACCGTGGCTGGTGACGAATACATTTTGCGGCCAGCAGAACAAAACCTGGATTCAAACTGAAATCCTAAACCCTGGGTCCCCAGCAAGCCCAGAGGCTTGGACTAAAAAAAAAAGTGGAAGCTGTGAGTTTGATCAGATTTTTCAGATTGGAAGTCAAAGCTTACGATCATGAAAAGTCGACTTCAGCTTTAAGCACAAGGTCAACTTTAGCTTCGCACAAACCCAAACAGTCCATGCAGCTATATCATATATACTTGGGCCCTAGGCCCTAAAGTACGTATATGGGAAGCCCTTTGGGGCCAAACCCTAAACCCAAAACCCTAAATCCTATCCTTTTCCTACATGGACCCTTTGGGGGTAAAGTGCCTGCTTCATGGACTCTTTGGGAAAGGAAGATTCTGCTACAGACTTTAGACTTTAATTACCGAAGCCTATGGTGTTATTCCGGCATCGTGGGGTGATGAGTTCAGAGCCTCCTAAACCCCAAACCCTAAGCCCTTAACCCCAAACCCTAATCCTCAAACCCTAGACACTAAACCCTATACTCTAAACTCTAAATCCTAAACCCTAAGCCTCCTAAAATTTCCCCATGTGTTAGGGCTTCAAATGTGTGAACTAGGCCGGCCTATCCTTGGCAACGCATCTTAAGCAGTCTATATCACTCCCTAGAAATGGTGTAGGGTTTAGGGTGTAGGGTTTAGGACTATATCGTAGCCCTTAACCCTAAACCTAAATCTTCATCTCCTCAGCCCTAAGCCCTGAACCTAGATCCTGAACCTAAATCTTGATCCAAACAAGAACTGAGCCTAGATCCTAAAGCCTTAATACACCTGAAGCCCTCAACCCTAAGCCCTACACCCCTAAGCCCTAAAGCACCAAGCCACAACTGTGTAGTAGCTGGCCAAATTGTCGCCTGCACTGGAGCCCCTGCCTTACATGTGGTTGGTTTAGGGTCTAGGATTTAGGGCTTAGGGTTTAGGGTAGGTTTCCTTCAAAAAGCCACAGATTTCTTCATCTGCATAAGCACTGGTCCGTACAAACTACTTGTAACTTTCTGGATTACTGTTAAGGAGCTTGAGTTGAGTTTACCGTAGTAAGGAAGCCCTATTATTCGCTACATACCCATATGGTAGTTTCCCAAAATAAGGGTACCCCAATATAGACCCTAAAATACTATGGTCCTTATTATTGGGACCCCCAAAAAGGGTACCCCTAATTTTGGGAAACCCCATATTGTTGTAGCTGATTTTGAGTTCCTTAACAGCAACCAGATTTTGGGTAGCTAACCCTCGGTCTGAACCACTGGTTAGTGACGTTGAGGGATTTTCAACTGTAAGTGACGAAGAAAAATACGGGAACATGGGTTATTGGGCTACTACGAGGGATTCTATCAAGGTTTCCAGAAATGGGGGCCAACCCAAGATAGACGCCAAAAGATTGCAACCCTGGCTATGGGGACCCCCCAAGGAGCGGCCCACAGCCAGAACCCTAAACCCAATTTTTACAACCCGCTAAATGAATCCCGGTTTTCAATTCATCTTCCGTTTGACCGAATGGATCCAGTCCCTCCGCTCCAGAGTACTTACCTCTGGTTAGCAGATAATGAAGGAATGGGAAGGACATGGATACTACTATTGCGGGTTTAGGGTTTAAGGATTAGGGTTTAGAGTTAAAGGTTTAGGGTTTAAGGTTGGTTAGGGCTTAAGGTTAAGGGTTTAGGGTGTAAGTTTATTGTTAAGGGTCTAGGGTTTGGGGAGTGAACATGAACATGGTAAGTACTAGTGCAAGTTGGGGGGGGGGGTATACGAGCTGCCATAATAAGGATCCATTCCTTCACTCCTTGTTGTATAGAGGTGTAAGACTAACCCTGCCAAACTAGACCCAAAACCCTCAACCCTACTGAGCCTAACCGCAAGTGAGTTGCAAGCGCGATCAGTTCCTCCATCTACTGGCTCGAAGTAGGACGAAGTGGGAATGCTTGTAGGGATACCTCCGCAGAATAGGGTCAAAGGTCTACCTAGACCCCCCCAAGTACCCCAAAAAAATAGGCTGTGTAGATCCTATTTGTAGATATCAAGGTCTATAAAGGGTACTTTGGGGGGTTAAGGTATGTTGTGGACTCTTAAAGTTTTAGGGCCAAGGGCTTAACCCTAAACCCTAAACCCTACCTATGAACCCTAAACCCTATGAACCCTATGAACCCTAAACCCTAAACCCTATGAACCCCAAACCCTAAACCCTAAACCCTATGAACCCTAAACCCTAAACCCTATGAACCCTAAACCCTTAGGCTGCCAGCTTTAAGGTCTAGGGTCTGGTCCCTCTGGGGTTCACAGGCCGTTTGCGGCGCTAAATTCAATCCAACACCCTAAACTCTAAACCCTTTAGCTTAGGGTTTGAGATCTAAGGTTTAGGGTTTAGGGTTTAGGTAGATTCCCCAAACCCTAAATTCCCTAAACCCTAGACCCTAAAACCTGACTAGGCGCTGGTTGTCAGCATGGTGTAGCCCAAGCACACAAAGCCAGTGAGACTGATGCTGGCCTGAATTAATATTGGGGTCATATAGGGTTTGGGATTAATGGTTTAGGGTTTAGGAGGGGATATATTGGGATAATGGAAACAACATGGAAACTACTATTTAGGGTTCAGGGCTTAGGATGCTGGCCTGAATTCCGCCACTCCGCGTCCACACCTCACAGCGCCCTGCACTGTACTCGATTCCCACCTAGTTTGCTGGGAACAGGGTCTGGGGTTTAAGGTGTTAAGGTATACACACCGAGGTTCGGAAGGTCTTAGCGTTTTGGCTGTGTTAATTACTGTGAGGCTTGAGCATTCCAAAATAGGCACAGGCACGCAAGCGTTGGATGACTCGCATTTGGCCTTGCAGTCAGAGAGGTCAACAACATCGGAAAAGACTGCGTAGTGGTTGGGGTGGTTATCTCCAGGACTGCTTCCACGGCAAGCTCGTCCAACCCTCGAGCCAATGTCGCGGGTCTTTTCATAAGAGTATCCGGAAATTTCAGACACGAAATGACCAATTAGCAAAACCATAGGGCTCCAGTTACCTAAATAATGGGAACTGGGTACTATGTACCCTATAGTTACATAGCCCATTAACCTACTGCATAGGTAGCTGGGAGCCCTAGGGGAAAGGCATGTAACTCAAAATGCAACACGTTCAGCCAATCATGACCCAGGCTCCCCCCATCAATCGGGACAAATCGGTACTCGGGACTTGAGCTCACCGTGCTGCTGAGCTCTGTGGTGCTTAAAGTCCTGCCAGCGCTAGAGGCCCAAGTACTAGCTATCTTTTCATACCGTCATACCATGCCACCAAAATAGCGGCAAGCATGCCCCAAACCTAAACGAAGGATTTACTGTTACTTTTAGGATGCTATCGGAAGCCCCAAAACTAAGAAACGTACTTGTGCGCTCCTAGTGATGGTCTCCGTTGTGATGGTCACAGTCAAGGGCTCCACGGTTGTGGTCGCTGCAAGAGTGGACGCGGCGGGGCAAGGTGCACAGCCGCTGAAGCACACGTGCATGGCTGAACCTACAGTCCCTTGCACCAGTAGCAAACATCATCCGCACAAGTTTCTAAAACATTGACAAGTAAGGGAAGGATTTTCCAGAGTTTGTGCAAGGCGCTTGAAGCGCTGCTGTCGACAGCTAAGAACCGGTTTGAGTGGCCTGAACCTGCCTCCTGACAGTCTGCTGGCACATATTCCACAGAATCCCAAGAGTCGCCATTGATGAACTTGAACCTGGGTTGCTGTTAAGGAACTTAAATTAGGTTAGTATATTGGGGAACCTGTATTATTTACTATATATACCCATTATGGTAACTTAAATGAAGTTCCTTAACAGCAACCCAGGAACTCATAGAACCCAGGAGTCAGGGCCAAGGTCACTTCATATGTGCCATCTTGGTCCAGGTCTGACAGTTTCGTTGCTTTTGGATCCCAACCTTGGAAACTTCCTGCCACATGTACACCAGCAGGGGACACGGCCTGCTCTTGCATGCCAACCTTGAAAGTCACAAGGGACTTGCTAGGAGCCGGTGTGGTAACAATGGCATCGACGGGCTCCATGATGCACGGGATGCTGTTAATGCAGTGCCAATCATTCCCATAAGAGACACGTGGGCACAGAGATGGATCAGCGTTGCCTGCCCAGCAGAGTGCACCGCGAAAATTCACCATCCATGCCTCCTTGGCTCGGCACAAAGCGTAACACGTACTTTCAAAGCCTCTGCTAAGATTGTGGCTGTCAAGCATATTGGGCAATGGTGGCCAAGCCCAGCGTCCCGTCTACTCCCTACAAACAAACTTGCTTCAATTTACGCAGCAGAAACTTGTCTGGGCGAGCTGTAGCTAGCACGTGATAACCTTCACCCCGTCCGAAAAGTGTACGGGCTGGGGTACATATGGCTGTTTCCTAAAGTGAGGGAGCCCACTATGGGCCCCACAATTTCATAGTTATTACTACAGGGCGTATAGGGCAACCCAAAATGGTGACCCTAATTTTGGGAAACCCCCGAGTCCGCATCCATTTCAGACTACCGGTGGCGAGCGTCCACCTCCCCTGCATTCTAGCCGATTTATCTTAAACGCTAAACCATGCACCCTAACCCCAAATCCTGAGCTTTTGCAAGTGCCTGGCGTTTCTCGCACAGACATGGGCCTGATGAACTGCTCATCCCAAACCTTACCCTTTTTCGAACTAAGATGGAGGCCCCTGAGCGGCCTCATACAAACAAAAACATGGTCCGTTCAAATGGGGTCGACGTGGGATTCCATGTTAGTTTGGAGAGGATACCCGCAAAGCCTGCCACATCAACCACATCAATTATTAAGCATGCCTGAATGTTCGGTGGGCGAAGCCGTGATGCTCACCCTCTTGCATCCCACCATGAAGACCTGCTTTACCCAGACTGCCTAAGCTAGACCTCAACAACTCAAGGCCGAACCCTTCTTTCCCATACCCTTTCTACCTGTCTAACCCTAAGCCCTGAACCCCAAATAGTAGTTTCCATTCTATTTTCCATTATCCCAATATAACCCCAATATAACCTTAATATACTACAGTAGTTTCGGAACCCCAACATCCGCAACCCAAAGATGCCATTGAGTCTCTGCCTGGTAGCTTGCAGGGCACCAGCCTTTCAACTCCGAAGGGTAATAATGGTAGCAATAATAGTAATAATAGCAAAAATAGTAACAATAATACTAATAAGTAGCCCTAAACCCTAAACCGCGTAGGCTTTGAAGTCAGACCCGCAGATGTTTCCCTGAGGAGGCTCGGATCCTACTTCATGAGACCCGAGTGTGTATCGCAACGCTGTTAAGGTTTGAGGTTTATCTGTTTAGCTTTCGCATTCCCATAGGATCCTAGGGCACTTTCTGCGGTTCTCTGGGGTTTGGGTACCATGAATTGTGGTATAAGATTTGCGAAAGTCTACGATGTGTAGGTACGTGTCTTCGGTACTTGGCCCCGTGGTGCTCGTAATAGAGGTTTCGCTACAACTTCATGAAGTCCAGAAGGGCAGAATCAAGTCCACAGGGCTTGAATTCAGGGATCTCAGTATGCAAAAGAAGTTTTGAAGCGGAGGTGCGTTAAACTACGCAAGACTTCCGATGTACTCACCCTGAACCTTGAAAGTTCCTGGCTTACGGGGGGGGGGGGGGGGGGNNTAGGGCTTAGGGTTTGGGACTTGGGATTGAAGGCCTAAGGTTTGGGATTCAGGGTTCAGAGCTTAAGGTTCAGGGCTTCGGGTTTGGTGGGGTTTCAGGCTAGGGTCTAGGGCTTAAGGTTTAGATCTCAGGGTTTGAGGTATAGAGCTTTGGGTTTAGAGTTTAAGGCTGAGGGCCTCTGAAAGCAAGGTACTGTACCATGTAGGACCCTCTATGGATATCTCGGAATTTCAAAGCATTGAAGATTGTCTGGGTATCGTGTACTTAAACTAACCTTAGACCCCTAAAACCAAACAAGATACCAAAATATCAGGGACGAACACCTGTTTGTAGCTATAGGTATGTAGGATACTCTTGGTACAGGTTCTGAAAGCAGGGTCGGTGTTCTTGTTGTGTACTGGTTGTCAACATGGTCTATTGCGGCAAGTGGCGTTAAGAAACGGGCCCCACATGTTGACCCCTGCGCAGGCAGAGAAAGCATTCGAACAAACGCAGCAGAGCTTCTTACTGGGAGTTCGTAGCGTATAAGGAAATGCATTATGTAGGGGTTTCAAGGGGGCTATATTCCCTTATTCCTTACTAACCACCAGCAAGGCTTTGTATCAAGGAGTTCAAGAAGTTTCAAAAGCTTTCAAACAGGGCCATGCCGCACGCACCACTATGTGAGCCATTGTTAAAATCCTAGCATGGCCCTTAATAACCCGTATAATACTCCCCAACATGGTCCCCTATACAACCTCCCGTTCAAGGAGTTTAGGCCCTAAATCCGAACCTCTATATATATATATAATATACATATTCTGTATTGTATATAAATATTCACCTGTATAAACCCCTTTGGGGATTCAGACTATAGCTCATTCGATGCGTTCTTTTTCAACATCTGGAGGAGCTTGGAGGCAAGCCCCGCAAAAGACCCAAACTCATTGTGAACCCAAGAACCTCAAGGTTTGGGGCTTGGGGTTTAGGGTTTGGGGTTAACTGTGGCCCTAAGAACCTCAAGGCGACAAGAATACCTGCAAACCTTCTCAAGTTTCAAAGAGCCCCTGAACAACTTAAAGCCAAAAGCTGATCTCAAAGGGCACCTGAAAGTCTTAGAGCCAAAGTGAAACGACATCCCCAGCCTCCAAGGATCATAGTCCAAACCCAGAGATGCAAAACCTGCACAGGCCAAGCGCTAATAGAGAAGATGGATAGATGGGTAGGCTAAGGTATAGGGTTTTGGGTTTAGGGTGTCCATGGATAAATGAGTAGGTTAGGGTATAGGGTTTAGGGTGTCCATGGGTAGTAGCGGTGGCGGATGATGCTTGGACTTGGCTGCGCATGCAGGTGTGGGCATTCCTCCAGTAGCACCAGACATCGGGTTAAACCCTAAACCCTCAACCCTAAACCCTAAACTCAGTCCTAGTTCTGCAGTCTCTGTCCAAAGTCGTTGTTGGTTGGAGGAGCCGTCTTTGTACTTGCAGCAGAAAACGCTATAGTCCCCCTTAAGTAGATAGAATATGGGGTATATGGGGATCTTATTATAGTATACCCAGAGTCGTATTCTATCTACTTAAGGGGGACTATACCCATGTAGCGGTCTATTGGTAGTGGTAGAGCACGCAGCGTGGGCGACGGTTTATGTGGACAGCTCAGCAGTTGTGTCACTGCAGCGGTCACACGCTTCTAAGCCTAAATGCGCGGACATGCCAGGGAGAGTACGTGGGTTGACATGCACAAGCTTGCATCTAGTAATGTGTACAAAATCATGGCAGCAAGAAAATAATCACCCAAAGTGAACAGCAGTGGATCATTTCAAGGGTCCTAGACTTGGCTGGCTGTTTGGTACTTCGATCAGACGCCACACGTTGGCACAACCTAGTAGCTCAAATGCCATCTGTTCCCAAGTAGCCGGTATCGACAGCCATCTTTCACACACCAGATCCCATACACCCTAAACACTAAGCCCTAAACTGGTGGCCAACTCGCGGTCTAGGGTTTAGGGTTCAGGGACCCATGAATCATAATCCGTTGGGCTAAGGGCTTTGATGTCACATACTTGCTAGACCTATCTCCTGAATCCTCTACGCCATAAACCATAAACCCTAAACCCTAAACCCTAAACCACCTGAAATCTCTGCACCCAGAGCCTCCGCCCACCGAAACCCTGACAGATGTGTTGCTTTCAGCCGCTTGCGGAAACACATCAAGGAACTTCTGGCAAACTTTCATCCCACAGCTCCTCATCCCCAAGCCCAAGATTTCCCCTACAAACCCCTTATGACCCCCCATATGTAATCCAAATGTAGCCATTTCTGTAAACCCGAAACCCCTAACCCTGAACCAATGAACTCCAAACCCTTATAGTCCCCCTTAAGTAGATAGGTATATTATAATAAGATCCCCATATACCCCATATTCTATCTACTTAAGGGGGACTATAACCCTAAACCCCAGACCCCTTCACGGGCCTGAGAGCCATGACCTGCGATTGTCTCTCGAGGCATCGAAGCTCCGACCTGCGACTAATGCAAGGGCCTAATATGGGGGTTTCCCAAAATTAGGGATACCTTTTTGGGGTTCCCCATAATAAGGACTATAGTATTTTGGGGTCTATATAGGGGTCCTCTTATTCAGGGAAACTACCCTATAAGGGAGATAGGGTTTAGGGGTTTAGGCTTTCGGGTAAAAGGTTGAGGAGGGTATACGGGATATGAAAGGGACACATAGTGTAGGGTTAAGGGTTTGAGGACCTTCAGGATTAAGGCCACGCGCAGGGATAAAGGAGCTGCCCAAAATTAGGGGTACCTTTTGAAGGTGTCTTTCGCGGGGTCATGCGGGTCCCTATTTAACGAAACAACAAGTGTACGGATAGTACTCCAAGGGGGTATAGAGAAACGGAAAGCGAAACGGAAACTACTGCATATAACTCATGGTCTAGGATTTAGGGTTACTGGATGATACGGGCTTACAGCTTTGAGGGTTTAGTCGCGGGCAGATGCCAACGCAGTTGTATACCTCTTCCCCGCCAGCCAGCATCCCCAAAAGATACAGCTTTGCATTTTCAAGCCCACCACCGGATTGCACAAAGCTCAAAATTGTTGTTGGCCAAGTGGTTCATGCGAGCCATTGTCTAAACTCCTAGTATCACCTCTAATAGCCCCTAAAGAAGTCCTCTGTATAATCCCCTCTATAGCCCGCTTTAAGCACTTTAAGCCCTAGACAGTAAACCCTATATTATCCCTATGTAACCCCCTTTAAGGCGTTTAGACCCAAAACCCTGAACCCTATGTAATCCCCTATATACCACGGTCTACCCTAAACCCGAAAAAACTAATCCCTAAACTCTAAACCCTAAACCCTAAACCCCGACCCCTAAACTCTAAACCCTAAACCCTAATGCGTTGTGGCCAATAGCGGCGTCCATCTCAAGGAGCGGACTGGGATTGCCCTGAGAACCCCCACCCCCGCCCCTCCCTACACGCCAAACCCTCAAACCTCAAAGAAATGGACAGGGTTCTTTGGGGGTTTACTTATAGGGTGTATAAATGCATAGATATATATATATACATGTACAAATGTATATACATATGTATATGTATATGTGTATATATACGGGGCTATGTAGGGGGGTATTCAAGGTTATAAATAAATATATATATATATAGAAATGTGAACCTCAGGGATGTGGACAGGGTGCCTGAAATTGAAAATCCTGTCAACACTTGAAAGTACAGCTCCCTAAACCCTAAACCCTAAACAGCTTGCTGTCAGAAGTGCCGGCCTCCCAATGAAGTTTGGTCGGTTGGGCTGCTGTGTGGGCTTTATCGCTCAGAGTTGTGATATCTTTTTAGGGAGTATAGTCACCCTTAAGTAGATAGAATATGGCTTTGGGTATATTATAATAAGATCCCCATATACCCCATATTCTATCTACTTAAGGGGGACTATAGGTGTACGATCGATATTCGCCGAGAGTGATCCCGCCAGGGCGTTCCCCCACTCCTCCCATGGTGGGCGATCGAGTCAAGCCCCACCCACATGAAATCCCAGGTCTTCCAAATCTTGAAACCTTTGTGAGCGTTTCTGGATTTCCTGTCACCCCCGTCCCCGATTTTACCAACTTTGCGAGGATGCAAGGAGGTGGCTGCGTGAGTGTTTCAAAGGAGCTTCTCGTTCTGTGCGCCCCAAAAGCTGAAGCTGGCGCTTTTACAATTCAGAGAAAGGCTGCTTATATTAACTGTTGCTGCTATCACTACTGTTTAGAGGCCTTCTGGATAACCATCCTTATCTGACCCCTGTGGTATAATCAGGATCCTATTCTCTCAGTTGCAGAAACATACTAGGTCAATAAGTTTCTGTGTGTGTAGGCACCCCGCAGCGGGATCACAATCCTGGCACATTCCCCGAACTCGAAATCTCAAAAGCTAAGCGCTAAACGGGAAATCTGAGGCGCACATGCGATCGAGGTCTCAAGCTCCCAAGTGCTTCCTGAGAATTAGGAATGCAATATGGCGGATTTCTCAACACAGACCCTCACTTTTGAGGAAGCCCTTGGAAAAATAGATTGTAACGTAAGGCTTCTCCTTACAAATATCTTAGGACACCATCCCTTAAATTGATCCAGTAAGCTCCGAAGTCCTGTAATCTAAGCTCAAAGGCTGAAGCCTAAATCCCTGAATCCTAAACCCTAAACTCGGAACCCCATAAATCCTAATCTCTGACCCCTAAACCTCTGAACCCTCCTATACCCTAAACCCTAAACCCTAAATCCTATACCCTAAACCTTATACCCTAAACCCAAAACCCTATACCCTATACTTTAAACCCTAAACCCCAAAATCATGCCTCGAAGACGTCCAAAGAACGGAAAGTGGGAGTCGCGCGCGAAGCCATGGAGTCTAGGACTTGTTGGTTGAAGCGGGTAAAAGCACTCCTGAGCTAGGGCTTTGGGGTTAGGGATTTAGGGTTTAGGGTTTTAGGGGTTTAGGGGTTTAGGGGTTTAGGGGTTTAGGGTTTAGGGCGTAGGGTTGAGGGTTTAGGCTTACGGTTTAAGGCTTAGAGTTCACGGTTTAGGGCCTAGGGTTTATGGGGCTTAGGGTCTAGGGTTTCTTATGAAAATCGTAAAGCTCCCCCGGCCCCCAGCCCCCACACGCGAATGATTAATATTCCACGTGTTATGTAGTGGTATTGCGTCGGGAAGACTTTGTCGAATTGGTGGGTGGGGAGGTTCATAATTATTGGGGCAAGAGATTAGATATACTTCCAGTCCTAGAGCCCACAAGGTCGGTCGCCAAAACTCTGGCAAGCTGGCCATAATTTTGACAACCTCCCATACGGCTATTTGGCAAGAATTGGAAAGCTTCGTTGGCATATGCTGGGGTCTAATTTGTCTGGAAAATTGGGCCGCACATTTGTGGAACCCTGAACACTAAACCCCCGCAACCCTGAACCCCTAACTCAATCGTGTAATGACCCCCAGAACCCAAACCTTAGGTTTCCTGTGGCGCTGATCGGGACTTGGAGAGGAGACCTAAACCCTAAACCCTTAAACACTAAACCTCTATAAACCCCTAAACCCTAAACTTCCACAAGATGAGTCGCACAGGAGAAACCGGGGCTCTGTTGATAGGCCTACACGCAGCTTACGGCGTAGGGTTTAGGAAGAAGCCTGCGCGAGTAAGTGTTTACTAGCAACGCTATCATGAGTTTGGGTGGTTACCACTTCAGGCTCCAAAAAGTGTCACTTCAACAAACCCAGTAAGGATGCATGACGGGTAAAGACACCCTCATGTAGAGTGATCTTATGAACTGAGAGTATCCCGGACCCCTAGATAAACAAAAAACTGGGTACAAGACCATTCACTTATTCTGGTTGCATTGGCTACTCCTTGAGCCCTGGGAATACTTGGGAAAAGGTTCAGCAAGGGCCCAGTGGTTTCGGTGAAGGAGTTGGTGGCCACCACGCAGCCAAAACCCGTGCCCGCGCGGCCTGTACTTGCAGGCTCTTGGTCGGAAATAAATGGATACCGATAGGATTCTCCATATTTCCCCATAAAATCCTTGTATGAGATGTTTCATTACCTACCTCAAGCTCTAAACCCAATCCCTAGATCATGTAGTAACTTAGTACTATCTGTTTTCTTTTCCTTTTACTCTTTCCCTACTAAACGCCAGTGAGCCTGTCGGCGCACAAGTCGTCTCCATGCCATCCAGGACCTGAGCTTTTGAACACCCATACTCCGCAGAAATAAGGGCTTCTAAATCTTGGGGGTCTCTCTTGTTGTGGGTACTGACGATAAGAACTAGTTATGGTACTTGGTATAAGTATATATACATATGTATATATATATGCATATCTATATAGTAACTCTTGTATAATACTTCCAGGCAACCATATCCTTAAGGGGGCATGGTCCAAGGAGGGTAAATAACCTAGTAATCCCACATACTCCCAATTCCTCCCTCTTACTGCCCCCAAGGCTCCCGAAGGTCCCTAGTACCTATCTCCCTTGGACTCAACCCCATTAATGGACATCGTACTTACCAGGGGAGGTGTACTGCCAGACATTGTCGAATGGTCTGCCATGCTGAAAATCTCACGTTCTCAACTGTGCGGAAGGGTTCTGCTGCCAGGCCTGCGACCCTAAACTTACTGGTTCTCAGTAGGGAAAAAGGGAATACATTATATATGGATTATGTAGGGATGATATTCCCCTTTTCTCTATTAAGAGCCAGTAAGTAAGCCGTCCAAATAAACTGTGCGACTACTGCGGGCTAATTGAACTGCTCCAGGTTACCAAAGGGTCCATGTAGCTATATAGCGTATACTTGGGCCCCAAAGGAATTATGCAGGAACACCTTTAAACCCAGTTACTACGTACCCACGTGGACCCTCTTGGGCAAATCCATCACAGGCTGGTTTGTGACATGGGGATGCCACTTATTCGTGTCATATGAGCCATAGTCAAACTCCTAGTATCCCTCTTCATAACCCGTCTAATAGTCCCCCATATAAATTGCTTTAAGGAGTTAAGACTATAGCTCATATGAGGGCATCTGGCTCTTGAGAAAAATCCCTTGACAAACCTGCCCACCCAGTCATGGTACCATATTGGGACTATTGATGATTACCTTGGTTGGGGGGGGGGTGTAACTGTAAACCCTAAACCCTAAACCCTAACCCCTAAACCTTAACCGATTACGATTCTCGCAACTTGCTGCAAACCAGGCGCTGACTCCATCTCGCTGGTGAACTTGGCGAAGGTTTCATCTTCCGTATCACTCTTCAGCTCTGTTCTGGGGCATAGGTAGAACTTGATGTTCTGGCCTGGTGCGCTGATAGTATATAAAGTGTCTCCGTAAGTTTGAAAAATTAGGCATGCAAATTTGCGGGTCCCTACAATAAGGAATATAGTATATTGTGCCTACACTGCGGCCTCCCCTATATAACCCCCTTTAAAG